AGGAATAAAGTTGTGTTTTTTGTCAAAATCATTTTATTAAAGAGCTAATGTCACAACAAGCTCAAAATAACACATGCTTCAGAAATAAATTGGATGAAAAATTCTGAGAACAGAAGGATGAATGGTTTGAAGACATGGTAAAGCATCAGTTCCAAGAAACTTCTGCAAACAGGTGCAAATTCTGTTGGTGCAATGGAGAAAAACCTCAGAAAAGAAGCCTCCTGGGCATGACTTCTGTTTATGTAGTACAGTTTGTCTAATAAGTTAAATCAGAAAGGGCACAATTTCCATGGCTGCACAGACCCAAATCTATTTCTTCAATAATTAGCCCCAGCACAGGTTTTTCACTGTGAGTACTAGCAGAACAAAATTAGTTGACATCTTAACATAGCAGTAATATATATATTCTATACATGATAGATGTCTGACTCATGCAGCCTCCTCAGTTACATGATTTTCTTTTAAATTTACTCAAGAAACATTATAAAAAAATATTTGTATTTGTATTTCACTCCAGTGTTAGCTCCGCATCACCCCAGGCAAAGACAGTGTTTCAGCAGATAATCTAATTTGGCAAGAAATCTGCCCTAATTCTTAACCTCATTTTTGTAAATCCACGTAGAAAATAAAGGAAAACTCTTTATACAAAACAAGAGCAAATAACTGTACCTATAGAAAAGGGGATTTGTTCCCTTTAGTTTTATCATGGCACATACTTTATAGTTTCACAACAGAATACTAATTTTCATTTAGTTTTTTTAAACCCCAAAATAGTGTTGATGAAGGGAAGAATGTGAGTTACCAGAGGCAGCTGACTCATGCATTAAGCAATTCATGTTCTTTATCAGTTTTCCCAACAGCATCAGGATTGGATAACGGGTCAAGGTCAGCAAAGAGACTGAACCAAGCAGTCAAGTCTTTAGGAGTCTTTGTAGATTCTGGAAAAAAAAAAAGAAAAAAAGAAAAGTACAGACTTGTCAGCTATTTTAAAACAAAACTGACTGAATGCTTGACTGAGGTCAAACAAATGCCATGCTATTGTTTAATTTAGTACTAAGGGTACTTCTGACAAGAAAATCTGA